AGGGTAGTCCTTCATCCTCCTCCACCTCCATTTTGAATGTAATTCTTTCATCAAGTCCGTTAATGAAATTAAGGAATTCATTTAAATCTTCCTTACCATGTGACCAAAGTGCAAAGTAGTCATCCAAGTATCGCATGAGCACTCTTGGTTGCAGTGGTGATTTCGCGACTTCCCATGTGACCAAAGTGCAAAGTAGTCATCCAAGTATCGCATGAGCACTCTTGGTTGCAGTGGTGACTTCTAGAATTCCCTTTCCAACTTGTCCATGTACACATTTGCCAAATGAGGTGAGAGTGGAGATACCATCAGTATTTTAAATATTTGCTCGTAGATACTGCCGTTAAATGTAAAAATATGTCAGGTTGATCAATCGTGTTAGCGATTCTTTCCGTATCTGTTCTGCCTGGAGGATGTCCTCTCCTCGTTCCAATATATCCAGCAATGCGCTAACCGCCTTCTCACCTGAGATGTTTGTGTACATCTCACTGACGATGCCGAATACGATGCCGGCGAAACGTCTGGGAATGTACCACCTCCACGATCCGACTTTGGAAATGATCATGCATACAATGGACTCCGGACTAGGTGCGTGCCTCTAAGTCTTTCAACAAATATGACCAATTTGCGAAAACAAGGTCAAATAACCTCTACACAATGAAAGGAGACTGCGACCACACAAAAGGCCACACAATCTTGGTCTTCATATCTACAATTCATTTAGTTTGAAGGGGCGAGTGGAAGGGATTCGTAAGTTGGTTATGGTGGAGGCTATGGGGGGTTACCTTGGAGCTGTGGTTGTAGATTTGTGCGTATAGGATCTCGGCGCACCGCCCTGCGACCCCGATGAATGCGTGCTCAGCTTTCGTCACAGCATCAGAGCACGACACCATGTTTAACGATAATTCACTAAAAACACGAAGGCAAGAAAGGTGGCCGGCTTCAAACCTACTTCCTTCTCATATTCCAATTTGATCCATTTAGCTTCTCATGTTTTGTTCGGATATCCTATGCTTTGCCTAAAGGTTTGTTCACAAATTAATTTAAGTCTTTAAAGACGACATGTGAAATGGCTGCAGATGAAAAGGGAAACGTATGCCCTAATTAGCAAAGAGGGGATCAGATTAGGTCGAGATGTGTTTAGGAAACCCACAAATGCAGGTTTCCTTTTGAATTTCCTCTTAACCACACGTATGGGATTAAAGTTGGAATTATGAAGTCTATAATAATAAGGAGTCTGTGTCTGGGAGATATTAAACATCTGGACCAGGAAGTGAGGAGACTGAGGCGAATTCTGGTTGAGAATAATTATCCACGAGGGCTGGTTGACAATTATTTTACAATATTTTCAAATAGAAAAAAATTGAGAAAAACACATATTTGGGGATAGATAAAAAGATACATCACTCTACCAGGATCCTTGTGCTGTCATTGTGCAATCTGTCGAAGAAGATAAGCGAATTGCTAAGTGAGACATCAGGATCATTTGCAAAGAGAAAATAACAGTGTCCTTGGTATTGCCTTCTTTTCAAGAATAATCTGAACCACTCTCCAGATCGGGTTGTTACAAGATGTTGTGTGCATGTTTTAGTGTAAATGTTGGATTAGCCTGTAGACCCATACATAAGAGGTTATCCGAACACAAAACAGCCTGCAAGGGTATGTGGGTACAGAAATCGGAATTGGCCGAACGCATGCCTCGCATAGGACACCAGATAGATTGGCCTAATACCATACGCTTAGCTGGATATGGAGACAATACCAGTAAGCGAAAGATTAGGGAGGCGATAGAGATCAACAAAACAGCCAACACCCTGACTAGAAGGACTGAGTGTAGGAAGTTAAGCGGAAAATAGTTGTGGCTGTTGGATAGGTATAGATAAAGAGGGTGGGGGGAACAATAAGTACTAGTGAGCAAGAGGAGGAGGCTTGATTGAGCTGGAATTTGGTTTTGACTTTCACATCACATTCATTTCAAGAGCAATGCACTCACACAACACGTGTGAACTGGGACGCAATCACATACGGTAACATTGCAGGAGCAAAGGCATAAGTGTTTTAGGGGAGGATGCAGCTGATCTGTCCCAATTGCATCCGTTTCCCTCCTTATCTGCAGCCACTTCACATGTCGTCTGCAGGCATTTAACTTAACTTTTGAACAAACCTTTACGCCGGTGATTCACAAACTGTGCGCCGCGGCGCCCCGGGGAGCCTCGGCTTCTTTACAGGGGCGCCGCTAAATATTATAAAAGCTTAAATTTGAGAAAATTTGCAGTGATTTGCAGGCTCATCCATCACATTAATTATTAAATAGTAATTTAATGTTAAAAAGGTATAAAAAAATAATGAAGATACACGAGTTTTATTTTTTTATCTCTTACTTACGAAGAGTCATACTTAGGGTAGGGCGCCATGGAAAAATTTTAAATGAAAAAGGGCGCCGCGACTATGAAAAGTTTGGGAACCACTGCTTTAGGCAAAGCATAGGATATCCAAGCAAAACATGAGATGCCTTAATGGACCAAATTGGTATATGAGAAAGAAGTAAGTTTTAAGCCGGCCACCTTTCTTGTCTTCGTGTTTTGGTGAATTATCTTTAAGCATCGTGTCGTGCTCTAGTGATGTTCGTCAAATGACGGACGAAAGATGAGCACGAATTTATCGGGGTCGCAGGGTAGTGCGCCGAGGACCTATTCGCCCAAATCTACAACCACAGCCCCAAGGCAACCCCTCCAACCTCCGCTGGAGCCAATTTACGAATCCCTTCCACTCGCCTCTTCAAACGAAATTAAGGATACTCCAACATATCCTTAAAAGTGTCAAAGTCGTGTATCGTTATGCACCTCTCTAAATGTATGAAACAAGTTCGTATGTTTCTCCTTCTCTTTTCTCTATCTTCAATAGTACAGGCATGTCGGGCCTCTGCGTTTGGAGGACTTCACTTAGCCAGCGTGTACCCTCAAGGTAAAGACTTATAACATATGGAAAATTGGTTTGAAGGAATTCGTGATTTGGTCTCATCAGAAGCCGAGGAAGGATAACCTCGGAAGAAAGACTTGTAGATTGTACGAAGAAGTCCTCGTTTCACCATACTGCGACTTCAAAGAGCCCTGGATAAGCTTTCGTCTGTATCACCAGAAGCCATACATTACGAGGTAGCTCAACAATATAAATGTTGTATTGGTTTAGTATATCGTTGCGTCATTTCGTGAAGTACGCTTTCCTGCTCTGAGGATTTCTGTCACATGACAGGCGAAAGTTTAGCACAGACTCTTTGGCGTCGCAGGACAATGAGCCGAGGACTTATTTGTACAATCAAATAGTCTTCACTCTGAGCCAACTCTCCTTCGGTTTCCGGCGGAACAAATTCACCAATTTCTTCAACCAATTTTGCCCTCGAAACAGAAAGTGGAGTCACACTAACTTATTGAAGGATTCTTTGAAACCCAGCCTTTCTTCACATTTAAAACTTCAATTTTGACATTTTTCATACCGGCATACCTTTCCTTTGGCTTGCGAGGGCGGGTGGAATGGATTCGTAGATTGGCCATACCGGATACCGAAGAAGGGTTGCCTTGGATGTTTGCTTATTGAAGTGAGCGAAGAAAACCCCGGCTCAGCACTCAATGACCCCGATGGCTCCGTTATGTGACCGACATCGTCAAGGCCAGAAACCATTATTCACAAACAATCACCAAAAAGCATCAAACCAAGAAATGTGGCCGGCTGAGATCCTACTTACTTCTTATACTTCATCGTGCGAGCTTAACGATGCATTACATGATTCGGTTGGCACGAAACTAAGCTTATCTTCATATGAATACCAATGCTTTCGAAATTCATCGTTTTACATGAGGACCTAAAAATTAATGGCCTGACAGGTTAATCTCATTAGATTTTTGAAAGTATGCCCTTCATGTAGTATTATTCCTAAGTTTTGTATTCTTGATAGACATAATTTGCCAATCAGAATTTATAAAAGTATATCGTGATTTGATTAAAGAAAGACCCCTTCAAAATATTTAAAGATTACATAATTCGATTAGAACAAAAAAACAGACCCAGGCAATCTTTGTCCTATACTCTAAATTCGGAGAAATTCCTGAAGCTACAATCCATGGTTGACTCATTATATGATGTAATGCTTCGTCAGGTAATGAATTGACACGATAATAAATTTAAGAATTTAGGAATTGGAATTAGACCTTTAAGTATTAGCCGGAAATCATCCACAGGATAAGAGAAAACCAAGATAGATAGGAAAGTTGTTAACCTGTCAAAAATATCAGTGGACAGTACTACTGAGGAAGTCCCATCTAGAGGCCTTAATTAGGCTTTGCCAAATATGAAGTTTCACTGTAGAGATTTAGGTGGAAGTTATTAACATTACTGATCGGTTAGCAGAAGAAATTAGAAATAAGATTGAAATACAAGTTGTTCCTCTAATTAATAGCCATGTAGCAGCACCAAATAAGAGTAGGTGGGTTAATAATATCACTAAGATGCTTAGACTACATGAACAAACAATTTTGAGGGTATGAAATGTATTCAGCCGGCCACTTTTCTTGGTTTAGTTCTTTTTGGTGATTTTTCGTGAATAATGGTTTCTGGCCTTGACGACGTCAGTTACATGACGGACGTAAGCTCAGCACGGAATCGTCAAGGTGGTATGGCGGTAAGCTGATGCCTCCCTTGCACAATTCAAAAGACAAAAGACCAAGACAACATTTCTTTGGTATCCGGTGAGGCCAAACTACGAATCCCTTCCACTCGCCTTTTAAAAACGAAATAAAAGTTATGCCAGTATCAAGTTACTAATGGATTGTACAAAAGTTGTTTGACCTTGTTTTCACAACTTATACACAACGAAAGGAGACCGCGGCCATACAAAAGGCCACGCCATTCTGGCTTTCATACCTTCGATTACTAATGGATTCTTAGAAACCAGCTTTTCTTCATATTCCTCATACCTTTGGCCTTCCATTAGGCATGAGGATAAGTCTTTAGGTATACTTCATTCCATATGCACTCGGATCATGACGGTACATTGAAAGACAGTCCAACTCACCGTCTGGCATGATGATGGCACTCTTTTTGCCCTGTGGTCGAGTTGTAACTAGCCGTGCGTGGTCACTGCGTTGAGTCTGGCTGGTCGCCACCTCGTCATCTTGACGATCCACCCAGTCCCGGGCCGACTTAACGGTCTTGGAGAGGAGGTCGGGGTCACTGGTTGACGCATTCAACCGGTCGACGACACGCCTCAAATCTTCCACCCAGGCCTCACATTGCGCCGTATCGGCGGCCGCAAACTTGATCCGACGCCGTCGTCGTCTCGTCCAAGGCGCCCAGCCGGTGGAGGCGGCAGCCGAATCAGTTCCGGCCCGTCTGGCCGAAGACTTGCAACGCGTCGGCAGCATCATGCGGCCAGAAGTGGCGGTGTCTACGTCTTTTGGCCGCCGGTGAAGACTGTTTGTAGCACTGCGGCTTCCGTCCAGCGGGGCGGAGGCGAGCTCTGTGTCGTCTTGAGAAAAGGCGACCACAATCGCGAAAGTCTCCCTTCCAGTGGCGACCTCTTTGAGGGCCATGGCCGTCCCTTCGACCAATGATTTGTCATTGACCTCAGGCAATCTGCCATAGGGACGGCCGCAACTGCTGCCTGGGCCGCCTGACGTACGGCTCTCCTCGAGGCAGGGAAGAAGACTCGCCGAATACGAGAGTGATGGTATCGATGTCGGAGAGCTGGGCTTGCAAACGCTCTCGGCTCGTCCACCAGAAGGCATGACAGAGTCAGGCGGAATGACTGATCGCTTGGCTTGGCGGCCCAAAGAAAGGCTTCTATTTTTGCCAGGTGAAGGCGGCTGAGATTGTATGGTTGCGCCGTATAAAGAGATGACACCATGCACCTAAAAGGTCAGACAACATTTCACAAAACCTGAAAATGAGGAGTTAAGAGAGCAAGCAAAGGAGAGAAAAGCTTTCTGTATCACAGAATATACTTCATGACAGTTTTGGTTGCACCTCGTTTCCGCAACTTGGTCCGAGCGTCGGGAAGACCTTGTGGAATGTACCTATTTATGTGTCCTCTGCCATAGTATTCGCTATTTCCAGCATAGGACCATTGACTTGGTACACTCACAAACCTTTCGCCGGCAGCTTAAGCGAGAGGCTCCATCGTTAACACAGAGTTACAACTCATCAAAGTGACAAGTGAAAGCAATCCCTGTTGGTCAATCCTCTGTTCAACCGTTGTGGCCTCAATGCTT